AATGTATGAGCGTAGACAGCAAAATCCGGATATATAAAGTCAGTAAGGCCAGTATTAACTTACGCAGCAGAACCAAGAACTGAAACGTCGCTTACAAAAGTATTGATGGAAACTACAGAAATGAAAGTGTTAAGAAGCATAAGAGGATTTTTTCTAAGAGATAGAATAAGGAATAAGGAAACATTAGAGAAACTGGAGTCCAAAATGTGCTACGATGGGCACATGCACGATGTTGTAAATGAAGAGATTATGTCAACAGAATAGACAAAGGAAAAAATGTCAGATAGGTAAAAAGATACATATTTCTAATACAAAAACCACTAAAAGAGGAAGAAGAGAAAGAAACAATGGTTTAAAAGTTAATACTATGACTTTTCATCAATCATGCAAGAAAGAATCTTAAATATTCAGATCCCAAAAATGGAGAAAACAAGAGAGAGAGAGAGAGAGAGAGAGAGAGAGAGAGAAACGAACCAAGGGCAATAGTAGCTTGTTGATTTAAAATTTTCTAGAATTTCAAGGTATTTTAAACCAGTCCACTGCTCAGGTTGTATAGAAAATGTCACTATAAAATAAATAGTAATTAAGTAGCACGGGTATGGAACCACAGTAATATTTTTTTTCTAGATCTGCGGAAAATGAGGCATTTATCATCATTTTTACAAGAGCAAATTTCGTAAATAAATTAAAAAAATCAATAAATTAAATAATTTTTTCCCTAGATTCTCATCTGAAATTTGAAAATAATTCTAAGGTTTATTCTGGTCATTTTTGACGCTTTTTTTAGTGGAGATAGAACGGCTCATCGGATTGTGACGTATGAGAGGAGCTTAAAAAGTAAATAATAAAGGGAAGCACCCAAATGTCTTAACGTACTGGAATATGTGAGGTATTATGTAACAGGATTTAGGGAATAAAAAATCTAAGTTCATGTCATAAAGGCATTAGATAAGTATATTTACGCCTATTGGTGCAATTGTAGCGCGTAATAAGGTAACATTCTTAGGGATGGGATATAAGTAACATTATGTATTAGATATGAGAGTTATGTAAAATAATTGGGGATTAGTGTTACTTCTCAGTTGCTGCACTGTATCGTTAGAATCCAGTGGGTGAAGTTAAAGTTTAATTACTGCGTAAGATATTAGGTAAGGACTAAGTAAACAGAATAAAGTATATAGAAACTGAATACTGATCATCTTAAAGTTTAAAAATGGGTGCATCATCTTTACGACGACAAATTCAAAATCGCTGAAGTACTTACTGAAAAAAATACTAAAGCGTGACGTACATGCTTGTTACTTTAGGAAGGAGTACACTTTATAAAATAATAAAATTTATTAATGAAGGCACGAAATTTCCTTAATTCTCTAAAATAATATTTTTCAATAATTTGCAGAATCATTTACGAAAGATTATCCAACAAACATTGGCAAAATATGTAAAACTGCAGATTCTAGACACTGCAACACATTAGAAATAAACCACAGAGATTATTAGAAGTGTAGTCGATACGCCTGAATTCGGTACTAGATACAAAAAAGACTTGAAAGTTCATAATAGTTCTGAAAGTTTTGTAAAAGGTTAATTATTACCATCACCACGCTAGAGAAGAATACACCGCGATAGACGTTGCAATATAAATAGAAATATTGCACATTATACGTTGCAAAAAAATAGCGATCTCGATTCAATCCAATATAATTAACTCGGGCCCAAGTTAAGGATGACATTTCCCGTAAAACTTCTAGTTTTAAAATAGACGTTAACAAACTGTATCAAAGTGGCATAAATCGGTAAGAAAGCGAACTAGAAAAAAAAATGTCAAATAAAGATCGCGCTGTCAAAGAAAGAGTGTAGATGACAAAATTTATGACGATTTTATTAAATTATTTAATAATAACCCAAACACCGTTTCGAAAAGCAAATGGTTCTATCTGATTTAGAATAAATGGTGGTTGGCGCTTCAAACTAGTAAACCAAAATATAATTTTATTTTGGGTATTCCCAAATTTACGCCACTTTTATACTTTAAGAGTTTAATATTTATTTATTACAAGTTAAAAGATTTATTATACGACAGATTACAAAGAATACATTAAAAAAGCATTTGACAAAGTAAGACTTCAGAATTTATACATCTTTTGTATAATAGAGGGATCCGTTGGATAATGTAAAAACAATTAAAAACCTTTATCAAAGCAACAACATCGAAGTCAGAATAGATCGACAACTTACGGAATCTATAGATACAGGCAATGTAATAAAACAGGAGAGGGAATTCACTAAGTCCTAAGCTATTCAATCTAATCGTGGATGAAGTATAAAGAACGTCAACAAAAAAAAGAGGATAGACAATGCGGAACAATGACATTAAATTTCTCTGTTACGCAGATGATAAAATATTGACAGCTTAAAATGAAGATAGTCTTCAAGGGATAGTTTACAGATTTAACACAAGAGAATAATGGTAATCAATTAAGAACCAATAAGATATAAACTTACAAGAAGTGTGACTTTAAGATGAATGACGCTTAGTTCAGATTTTGAAACAAATTGGGAATAAGAGAAGCTCTTTTGCCTTAAACGTGTTAATATAAGAATGCAGATACATGAATGTTGATTATCGAAAATTTGACTGCGTTAATCATCAAAAATGATCAGAATTTTGAGATCAACTGAAATTGACAACAAGACAAGGTTGCGTCTTATTTTTTTTTTCTAAACAAGAAAAACACCTATGCAAAGAGGTAAGAAAAACTGTTCAACACAAAGCTCGCATAGAAGATAGTGAGATTTACATAGAATAGCTCTAAACCACACATCTATTGTATTTTACTAAACATTTAATGCAAGTTAAAATATTGATTGATGATTTACTTATTTTTATAAAATAAAATTGAGAATAACGTTGTTTACAATTTACATTATTTAATGAGAATTATCCACAATTTTAATTTAAATTATGTTTAATTTAAAATTACGATTTTCAGTTCGAAAATTTTTCTGAAAACCTATTCGAAATGGAAATCAAAACGTCAAAATTATCTTATTTTTAATTCAAATTGCGGTCAAATCCTTTAATTATAGTAGATAATATAGACGTGCCATCGGAAAATAAGTTCAGAAACATATAAAGATATTTATACAATATAAATAATAGAGTAGCTAAGCAGAAATTTAATAATACAACCACAAAATATAGATATATTATTTTCATAACGCCTAATAACAATCTTTTGTTAAATGATTAAAAAGAGATTAATAAACGGTACCACTTTTATTATAAACTTTTCTAATGTCGATTAAACAGGCAGCAGCTAATTTTTTAACATTTCGCTTACTAAAGAAATTGACGATTATAAATAATTAATATTGCTATTGAAAAATATGCACAAAAATATTTAGCTAAAAATAATTGACATCCATCTTTTGCCCACTCTGTACAACTTACTCTATCCACTACTATTTTTTTAGTATTCTATGTTAAATTTTAATTAAATTAATAAATCGTAATTCTATTCAAATTAGCTGAAACATATTTCAACTGCGTATTAAATTGAAGATTGATTGTACTTGGTAATAAAATTATCAATAAAACTTGTTAAGTTAGTTAAGACTAAATTTTCTACACAAATTCCATTACTGGCTAAAAAGCAATCTTAAGAAACGTTGTGTAAAGTAAGGTAAGGTTTAGCATTCACGTAATTTAAAGAGATAGAAGAGAACATTTTATTATTAATAAAATTGACTTGTTGTTTTTTTTTATTATTTAATGAATATGTAGAACTATCACCAAATAGTTTTAAGGACAGTCTTGAAGAACAATATTTCATTCAAATTTGATCCATTTTGGCTATTTATATGAAATATTAAAGATCAAATAGAGAGTTTCAGTATCGCTTAACAAAGAAAGTAAAACATTTGTGGAAGTTTCATCATTGTAATAAATGAAATATTAAGTTACAACTAATTTAAAGTCAATGTAAGTTGTTATGTTAACAATATAAATGAGCTAGAAAGTTTGATGAAAAGGTAGTGTAATTTTGGTAAATGTTTGGAAATTAAATGGTCAATAAAACAAAGTTAAGCAGGAAAATGCAGCAGAACTAGATGAAATATTCATAGAAGCAATAAAACTGCTAAATGAAAAAAATATGAATGCACTGTTAGAAATATTCAACATCTATGAATCTGGCCGAAATACTGCAGGACTGGTTGCAATCTATCTTTGTAACTAACACGAAAAAACCTTATGCAAACAGTTGTGATCAGTTCCAAATGATTAGTACATTAAATCAGGTTCTAAATGACATTTTTCTGTACTTTATTGATTACCAGGAAGCGTTCGAATGCGTCAAATATTCAGCGCTAATAAAACTGCTACAAGGTAGAATGATAGACCACAATAACTTAAGATTCAATAAGAACCTCTTATTACACCAAAAAGCATCGGTAAGGTATAAGACATGGTCGGACATAATAACCGACAGCCAGGAGGTACTACAAAGTCTTATTGACAATATAAATACAGAAGGGGTTCAATTTGGTTTAAAAATTAAAGCAGATAAAACGAAGGTAATTATGGTTAGCAAAACTTTTAATATAAACGTGAACAGCAATAACATCCATTCAAGGCTGCTTTATCCATTCGGCAATATAGGCAGTTGCCTAAGGCGGCAAATTATGAGAGGCAGGCAAAAATACTGCACAAAAAATATTTGTACATAAAAATAAAAATAGAACAACAGTTAAGTACATTCCATTAATGGAATAGAACTGGACATTAATTTTTAGAAAACAAATTACATTGTCTTAATACTATTCATTCAAAAATAACTTAAGTCATAAATTTAGAAATTATTGGGCCGCCAGTAGCATCGCAAATACTTCACTGTAAATATATTTTTCACATTAGGCAGAAACTAAAGACTTGATTTGGTTTGATTTCTACTGAAACTTGGAAGTACCATTTTGGATATAAGTTTATTATAAACACTATGTGCAAGGAACTCATAATTTTGATGAGAAGACAAGTAAGAAGAAAGATTGTTAGCGAATTAAAGCAAGAAAAGTACTATTCTATAATAGTTGATTCGACATCAGACGTGTCTCATGTTGATCAGGTAGCGTTTTTAGTTTGCTATGTGTCTTGTTATCACAAATCTGCTGCTTTAGATTTGACAGTGATTTCAACTTTAGAGGAATGTACCATGTATTTAGGTGAATGTTGCGGCCAGTAGGATCTTTGGCAACACAATCATGTCTGAACGCCACTTCCTTTTTCATTTTTACGCAAGAATTATATACATTTTTCTCGGCTTCCACTTGACTGACAACTCAAAATCAACTGTTGTGAAAAATCTTAGTGAAACTAGGTGGTCCACAAGGGCGGATGCAACTAAAGCGTTATACACTGGCTTTAGCGAAATATAATATGCGCTTTTTAATACCTCTAATGACGACTGTCAAACTAAAACTGTGAGCATCAAGCACTTTCTATATTTAAAAAAATGTACACTTTTAAAATGGCTTTATTAGCTGGCATTTGGCAACATATTTTAGAAAGAGTGAACCGACACAATAAGTATGTATAGAGTCCTGCAATGGATCTGGGTTCTGTCGTTAAATAGTACGAAGCTTTTTTAACTTATTTTACCTCAATCAAAAATAATTTTGCCATTTATGAAGACAAAGCCAAAAAATGATGCCCAAATAAAACATGTAAAGAAATAAGAAAGACAAACAGAAAAATATTTGGCGAGGGGGCCGATGATGAACTAAACTTTTTAGCTAGTGATGAGATGAAAATCCACACATTGTATATTATAATCAACACTAATAAAAGACCTGAATAGACGCCTGGAATCTTATAGACTTATTTATCAACGTTTTCGTGTTATAACAGATTTGCCAAAATTAAACAATGAAGAAATTATTAACGAAGCTGAAAATCTGATACAAATTTATAAAGACGACCTAGATACATCATTGATACATCAGTGTATTCAGTTAAAGGGTCATTTGGACACCACAATAAAATCACCAATTGACATCTCTAAATATTTAAAGAAGAGTGGATTGAAAGATATTTTTCCTAATTTTGACATTCCTTTGCGCATTTATTTGTGCATATCAGTTGCCAACGTATCCGCTGAAAGGTCATTTTCGAAAATTTCAAGAATTAAAAATTATTTTCCATCAATTTTGACGCAAGTGACGTAACAAAGGCGATATTTAGTATGACGACATTATAGATGATGTTATTTAAATATATATATATATATATATATATATATATATATATATATATATATATATATATATATATATATATATATATATATATGACAGTTTAGAACGTCCTTCTCCGTTGTCCGACACCCAACTTCCATCCTCTTCTATCGTAGCAATCTTCCGTTGATCTTCCGTAGATAGATGATGTTGCCAAAGAAAAATCAAGGAAGAAATCTCTGATCTCTGATATAACCGAACTGCAATGACAATTTTTTTTGTTATATGTATATAAGCATTGTAGTTTAAATTCATTTTTAATGTATTATTATTTAAATAAAAAATTCTGCTGATTTTTTTTTTCGCAAAAATGGTACATGTTTGGATGGCGGCTACTAGAGAATTGTGTAGGGCATCAATTGACCTAAAATGTGACTTAAATGTTGTACCCATTAAGTCTCCAAGTTCAGTTATCCTGGAGCCTGGATAAGTAAGGTCCTTGACCCAGACATAAATATACGTAGCAGAATTAAACAGGAAAACGCAGTATCTATGCATATAATAACTCTCCTCAGCAACAAGTGTCTTAATTTAACGAACGAAAGATAACTGCTGCAAATAGTAAAGCAAAGAAAAGCAGCCTACCTATAAATTCCAAAATTTTTAAAATTGATTACGGATGAAAAGATTGAGAAAAAAGGGCATCAGATGGAAGAAATACTCGTGGATAAAGCATATAAGGGAATGGACTAACCTAGACGCCCATGCACTTTTAGAGCAGCACAAGAGTGAACAACGTGTGCCAGATTATTCGCCAATATTCAGTGAATAAGGTACCTTAAGAAGAATATAAATTTTAGTAGATATATAATACGTCAAAATACTTAAAAATTTCGTATAATATGATTACATACCCTAGATATTTAAGCATTTACTTTAGTTTACTTTAAGTTATCAATAGTTTTTTCTAAAAAAAATTTACCTTCAGGTCACAAAATTTTATAGGTTTTCATACACCTGCTCATCGTATTCCCTAGACTTCATTTGGGATTCATTCAAGGATTCAAAAGATTCAAAAATTCATAAGTGATCAAAAAATATGTCATTAACGATTTTCAAGCAGGAGCACAGAAGACCTTTCTAAAGTAGGTGCCACAAAATGAAAAAAATATTTTATCTGCAGCTGTAATCGAAATATATATCACGAGTTAAATGAAGCAGAAGTTAAAAAGTAAAAAAAGTAGAGTATGTACTACTTTGGCCAGATGGCAAAAGTCCAGTTATGAAGTCACTTGCGCCAATGTCGGTAAGTTTTGGATCTGTATTACCGGCTGAGCTCGGTCAAAACAAAAATCTTTGCCAAGATCGAAACCATTTGTTAACTGAATATCTGACAGCTGCCGTATTAGAGGTTTGATATACAGGGTGTAGTCAGAATTTTTTTTTTTTCATTTGCGACATTTTAGGATTTAAGGAATATGATGATATAGAAAAATTAAAACATGGTATCACGCCAAAAAAGCACATCAATTATAATATTATAAAGGGTGTAGTGAGAAAATCCTTTTCGTTTGCGTTATTTTGGATTTTAAAGAATATGATGATTAACAAAAGCTCAACATAATGTCAGACCAGAACATTATGGCCCGTCATCATGTTTGATTTCTGATTTTTAGCTAAGAAATTAAACCGGAAGCAGAATAAGCTCCAGCACAAAGAAAACTTATACAAAGATAATTATAGTTTCGTAAATTTCAAATGTATTTTACTTATAATTTATTTAATAATAATAGGGACTTCTGTAAGTTGTACAGTACAAAAGGACAATTGGTTTATTTATAAATATTGAGTTAAGACAATTTGCAAAATTAAAAACATACATCGACAAATTCGTTTGATATAATTACATTTATACTATGATATTGTTTTCCTGTTCGACAATGATAACTTCTATTGGAAACATTGAAAACGAGTTAAAAATCGAACCGAAAACACTTCTTACCTGTTCTTACAATATTATTAAACGTCATATATAAAATACTGCAGACCTTTCCGCTTGAGATATTACACAAATCTTGTATTTCCAATTATTTCGTAGCGGAAGGATTTGCAAACGATTCTGCGCAAGTAAGAAGTGATTTCGTTTTTCTTGTTATATGTAACAAACATTTTAATATCGTTAGCAGGCCAAGCTGCACAGTTGGACAATATTTCATTTAGAGTATACTTACAAAACAAGACATTGTCGTAGCCCGTAAGATAAAAGTATCTATGCAGCGTCCCATAAAAATGATACTAGAGGTGTAATATATACTGTCTAAGAGGAGTTATTGATATGAACTCCCTGATTATCTCATTAATATTTATTGACAAGTTTATTAAAATTCAAGTAGGTACATAGTTTCAACATGAAATACGTATCCTAGAGATCTTGAAATAATTGATTATTATACTTCATCTTTTAACCGATAACTTCTTTTTAAATAAAATACTTTCTTTATACTTCTAATAAAATTTAGAACAACAATATTTACTGGAATAGCAAAATGTAGATCTAGAATGTGAAGTGTTTAAAAACCTAGATGCACCCATCTTGACTATTGGTAAAAAATATTCAGAACTGAAAACTATGGTAATGTATAAAGTTGAAGGGTAATCTCTTAATACTTCTAGATCCAGATGATATAATAGAAAGTAATTGGGACAAAAACTAGTAAAACAAGTACTGGTTTAATCTACAATGAATAAGACAACTTCCTGTTGGAGAATTATATTGGTTTTAAAGAAACAAAAGGTCAAAAAAATTTAAAGATTCTACCTATCTAAGATAACCTTGCGCAAAATTTTATAGTACCGTCTATAATACAATGTAATCTGAAAAGAGCGAATATTTTTGGATTGGAAAATCTATAAGGATAAAATAGATTTTTAGGATTTGTTTTGATTTGATTTCCTCCATATAATATTTTATTGTATTTTGTTTTATTGATGGATAACCTATTGAAGTTTGTGTTACTCCATCAGGGTAAAGGATTGTTATAAGAAGTTTTTTATATTGTTTTCTTTAAGATTCATTCTTTAACGAATTGAAATATTCGGATCATAAATTCTATCAATAAATATTAAAACTATGCCAGTAAAACCACACAACATAATGACGCTAATCCTACCACAAAGGTAGTTTATTTCATTTAGCTTCGTTTATTTTGTTCGTTGTTTGTAAATAACTAAATTGAATAATATCAAATAGTATTATTTATATAAAATTCGTTGCCATTTTAGTTAGGTCATTTTCTTTAAGAGGATCCTTGGAGTCTAAGCAATATTGGTCCTTATTTTTTGTCTATATTTCTTATTATACTAACAGGGAATTAAATATATTGAACTATGTCATAGATATAAGAAATTAGTAGATAATAATTTTTTTTTAAAAAATATTGTCTTAACAATAAAGCTAATGACAAACATCGGCTAGTAAAAAATTTAAAAAAAGAAAATGAGCATGTTCGATGTTCTAGATGCAGCTAACAAAAGGAACACAACGTTATTTTATATCATAGAAATATAGTTTAACTTTAAACATTTTAAATACAAAACAATATAGTTTTTTAACTTTATATTGTCCATGACCCTTAATCACCTATTCCAAGTTTTTCATTTAAATATCTCTATGTAAAAAGCTTCTCTTTAGTAACAGTTCTATGAGACAGTGCGCAGAACTTTTGGATATAACATCGTAACAAACGTAAGCTGCCGAAGCGCAATTGGAGACACAATTCTCCTCTAAACATCTAGGAAGACACTTGAGTTTAGGCAAGCCAAATAATAATAATAATATTTCCTTTTCCACTATTTCTTATGAGTCACTGGTATATTGGACCAGTCTTTATCTCGACAATCTCCCACATTTTCGAGTTGTTTTGCTTTGACTGATTGAAATGGTTATAAAAAGGCTAAAAGGTTAAAATAATTGACACAGGCGCCAGTGATAATCGACTCGGTTTTAGTC